TTCAAATGAAAAAGCATTTCTGAAATGAAGAATGTGGCTGCATCGTTTGACTCATAAATGAAATTAGTAATCAATCATCCTATTTGCATTTCCATTTTCTTCTTTAAGGCTGCACATTTTATGCCATAATCAAAGAGAAAACACAGCAGACATTGCTTTTTCATTTCCGTGGTCTGCCAGCAAAGTACCGTCCACAACTCGAAAACGAAAAAGCATTCTGAGCGGCGGGTGCAGCAGAGTGATGTCAGCAGCCGCTCTTCCTCAGGTCCTTGCTGACCGGGCTACCCATCTTGTTCGGTAGGGGGCGCTGTGCACGTCTGCATTGCATTACATTGCAAGCGTGCCGCTGGGACACTGCTTGAATTGCCGGGTCTGACTATCGGGACGCGCTGAACGACCACAATGACCAAAACAGTGGCAGAGCTAATGAGGGTAATGCAATGCAGATGTGCACAGCGCCCCCTAACAACGTTGGACTAATGATTGATTACTAATTTTCTGTATGAGTCAAGTAATGCAGCCACATTCTTAAAATGAAAAAGCATTTCTGGAAATGCTTTTTCATTTTCAAATTTTACATTTCAAATTCAATTTTGGTACGTATTTGCTGGGGTACATTTTAAAAAATTAATCTCAAATGTCTTTTTCTTTTTCATTTTAATTAAGTAAAAGGATGAGCAGTGTTAAAGAAGAAAATTAAAATGCAAACAGGATGATTGATGACTAATTTAATTTATGAGTCAAACGATGCAGCCACATTCTTAAAATAAAAAAGCATTTCAGAAACGCTTTTTTATTTGAAATATGGTAACAATTTGCTTCCATACCTGAGTCCCTGTACAGTCACTGGTTCCCTTCCTTGCCGTCAGCCGGAAGGCCACTTGGGAAAAAGAGACTATGTGAGAGGAGAATTCTTGAACGCCGCCTTTGGGAATGGGTCGGTTATCTGGTTCATCACATCGTTACGGGCTTTATGTAGACCTCAGTCTCTCAGCTCGGTGTATTTCATCTTTCCTGTTTAAGGACCAGTGAAATCCCGCCCTGTTAGCCTTTTCTAACCCGGCTAACGCGCCGGCAGGAGAATGGTGCTAACCCAGTCAATGCACCGTTTTCACAGCGCTGTTTAAAATGGCGCCCTGGCTTTATAACAAGTCGTGCTGTGATTGGTCCTTGGTAAGTAACGGCGGTTTTTATTGGTCCCTGACGGTTTATTTTGACAGGCGGCTTCGCTCACCTGCTGCTGCGTGTTGGAGAAGTTTAAGCTCAGAAAGTTAAGGACTGAAAACCCTTTTTCCTGTCAGCTTTAACACTTTTAGCTCATTTAACCGTGCAGCGGCTCTGTTCCTGGTTGCTAGGGTTACCCGTTACCAGGGTTACTATGGCTGACCAGGCTGCTGAAGAAGATGAGCAGGGAGTAGCAGAAGGAGGATCTCTCACTGAAGCCCAGAGACAGATGTTGGACAGATGTCTGCACGCGCTCAGGCACGCCAAGAATGATAGCCAGACGTTAGCTGCGCTGCTGCTGGTGAGTTCTGAGGGGCGGGGCATAGGGACACCTGGACAGGTTACCTGAAAGATGGTGGGAAGCAGGAGAGAAGTCCTGATTCACAGGGAGAACTGCTAGCTCACAGAGAAAGAAGCTGCTAGCTCAGAGGGGGGAACCCGCTATCTCAGAGGGGGAAACCCGCTAGCTCAGAGGGAACCTGCTAGCTCAGAGGGAACCCGCTAGCTAACAGAAGGAACCCGCTAGTTCAGAGGGAACCCCCTAGCTTAGAGAGGGGGAACCTGCTAGCTCAGAGAGGGGGAACCCGCTAGCTCAGAGGGAACCCGCTAGCTAACAGAAGGAACCCGCTAGTTCAGAGGGAACCCCCTAGCTCAGAGAGGGGGAACCCGCTAGCTCAGAGGGAGCCCGCTAGCTAACAGAAGGAACCCGCTAGTTCAGAGGGAACCCCCTAGCTCAGAGAGGGGGAACCCGCTAGCTCAGAGGGAGC